TTTTTTTATGTTTTATATTATTCACTCATTAATATATAAAAAATTTATCATTTTATGTTTACGCAATCTTTTGATTTTGAGGCTTACGCCTCAAAACGCCTTGAGGCTTATGCCTCGCCTCAAGAATGAAAAACGCCTCAATACCCGAATACGCAATTTTAAACATTGAGCACAGGTCAAAGCGCAGTCAAAAGCGCATGTAAAGCGCAGGTAAAGCGCAGTCAAAGCGCAACTAAAGCGCAGTCAAAAGCATAGATGACGTGGCAAATTTTTATTGGATGTCCGAATCTATTCTTCGCGTCCGGTGACCGGATGCAATAATTTTCCCACACGAGATAACTTCATTTTGCTTCATCCAGTTAAACCAAACAAACGAAAGGAGCTAAAAGAATTGGCCGAGAGGAAGAAGAAGAGGGAAGGAAATATAGAAGGAAGGGATCGGGAGAAAAAGGAGACACCTGCGACCAAGCTTGCCGAGGGGGGGTCAAGTGCATGCGGGGCTAAGCTTAGAGAAGAGGAAGAAAAGTATGTTTTGTTATTTATTCATTACAATTTTTATGAAAATTGTATTAAATATTTAAATAAAAGAAGAGGATTAATATATTAATATTTATACATATAAGTGAGATGATGAAAAACAATAATTGAGAAGTATTAGATTAGAATGGATAGTGTTGATAAATAAGAAGTCATTTAATGATATTAATCAACTAAGATAATATGAAATTTTTATTTTAGATTTATTTTAAAATTTGTGAACATATCTTTTGGAATTAAACTTGAAAATAATAATGATATTATGAAAAAAATTTAATTAACATTTTGATAAAATATATTTTGAGAGTAAATATTCTGATGGGTTTTATTATAAATTCATAGTAAATTTAGAAAAAGAGAGAGAAAGTATAATTAAAAATATATGAGCAATTTATAACTTAAATTTAACGAATAGATATTTTTTGTTTAGAAATATAATAAAAATAGAATAATACTTAATCATTAGATTTTTTGGAGTAGTTTTAATGTTAAAAATTAGAGAATATTATGAGTTGGAGATAAATTATAAAATATAATGTAATTATATATGTATCAAGCTATCTGCAGCGGAGTGGTTATTAAAATAAATTGTTAAGGCATCAAACTTTGAGGTGAGTATTCGTAATTCTACATTATAATAATTATATTATTTCTAATTGCATTTAATTGTTATTACAAATACTTTACCTTATTACTTCTTCAAATTACATTACAAATTATTTATTTCTCGCATATCAAATGATTGAGCATGCATAACATGTTATATTTTACGTTACTTTATAAAGTAAAGGAATGTAATGTGAATGAAATGGCTAGATAGATATGCTTACATGTGCATGTTGACTGATGGAGCACAACCCTTTATGGTACTGGTTGGGAAAAGAGTATTATTTAAAGCTTAAAATGAATAGAAAAGAAGATAATGTATATCGTAGGTGCGGCGCATCAGAAGAAAGGTATTTATAATATTTAACTTTGTTTCAAAATTTTGAAGTTCTAGTGGCTCTTCCAGCTTATTTGAGATAGTTTTAAATTGATTGAAAATTTAACCCAACCGTCCGACCGTATGTTCCTACCTCATTAATTCAAGCCTCCGGGTCGAGTCGTGACAAAAGTGGTATCAAAGTCCAAAGAATATTTTAGGAATTTGCATCGTAATGAAATAGCCATATAAATGATATATATATGAAATTATTTAGGAAGAATTTAGAGATTCTATAGTATAATTAATTTTTTTATATAAATACTTCAGGTATGTTGTTGATCAAGAAGAAGTAATTGATAGAAATATGGAAGGAGAAGAAGTAACACCTAAAATGATTGTGAACACCAATACATTTACCCAGATGATGACGGCTATGACCCAACTGCTTCAGGAATCAAGATCACAACCTGGAGTTGGAATGGATAAAAATCTGAAGTTGTTTTAGGACATGCGACTACCACTATTCAAAGGTAATGAGGGACCAATTGAGGCAAAGAATTGGTTGCTTCATATAGAGAAGATATTGGATAGCATGTCATGTCCTGATGAAAGGAAAGTGCCTCTCGCTACATTTGTTTTGAATGAAGAAGTAGAAAGGTGGTGGAGAGGTCAACGCAAAGACAGGCTAGGAGATATTTCAAATATATTGGTCAACTAGGAAGACTTTGTGGAACTTCTCATAGAATGGTTCATAACTATGTCAGCACGGAGGTAGATGCAGGAAAAATTTATAAGATTGATTCAAGGAGACAAATCAGTGATGCAATACGAAGCAAAATTTACAACCATATCCAAATATGAACCACAGTTAATTACAACAATATAAGAGAAATATTATCAATTCCTATCTGATCTAAAAGATGTGATTAGACAACCTTTAATACCTTTAGGAATCGAGGATTATTTAATATTGATAGAAAGAGCAAGAAGGGTGGAGATTAACTTTCAAATCGCTCAGAAGTGAAGAGATAGTATAAAAGGAAGAGTGTTGAAGAAAATATCCAAAGCAATCAAAATATCAAATTGAAGGATCAAATGGATAGAAACTCAAGTTTAGCCCTAGTGGAGTCAATAGTATAGCTACCAGTAGAGTTATGGATGCTTGTGTTAAGTGTGGCAGATTTCATAAGGGTGAATGCTTGATGGGCTCCAACACTTGCTACTAGTGTCATTAGCTTGGACATATAACAAAATATTTCCCTACATTGATTCAAAGGACTTCAGGAGAGTTGAGATCAGGTGAGACACCTTTGCTGAAGAGCTTTGATAAACAGAAGATGATAGAACTATTAGTTTCAGCTCCAACACAAAATCAATCAAGACAGAATGTTCGACTTCGAGTTTATGCTCTAACTCAACAGGAGCCTAATGAATCAATAGATGTTAATAAAGATGAATGAGATGTCTTTAACATAGAAACTTTATAATGCGTTCTAAAGCTGAAAAAGGAATTGTATATTTTATATGCCCTCAACAAAAAACGTTTATACATAATTGTTAATAATTTATGAAATATGAATGTCTGAAACTCTAATGTTTTCCCTTAAGTAGTTCTAATTATATAGTTTGGTTGTGAAGTAATCAGATGTTAATTTAGGTATTCTTATACCAAGACTACAACAAACACATAAGATAATATATAAGTAAACTTTTATGTAAATTGCTTTCTGTCTTTAAATTGTTTATCTTGTTGAATTTTACTCATATCTAATTATATTAAATATTATTGCAGGTAGGAGAAAGGACAAGGTAGAACCCAAAAAGGGTCAAACCATCACATTTTGGTGTACAGTTTTGGCGTACAATTTTGTAGTAAGTTAAACTGTTAGTATGTATATCAGTTATGGCTTACATAAATTTTGATGATTTACTTAGGATCCTGAAATTATTTTAGTAGCTCTGTAGATAAATGATTGATTATTGATTGAAATTTGCTTCCGAGTTGAACAATGTTATAATGTATTCAACGGAACAGTCAACAGTTTAATTTTTTCATAGATAAGGAGTCATAGTATGTACAGAGGAGTAGTTTTGTTTACTATTCGTCTCATGTTAACCTAGAGGAGTCGTTGTGGGTCATGATATACAAACACTTCTTTGAGCCATTAAATGCAATTTCGTTTTTTTTTTTTGGTAATTTAAATAGCTTTTTGAGCAGAAAAGTAATATTTCTTGCACATACATTGTGAGAAAATCTGTAAGGCAGAATTAATGATGGATGATATATCAAGTATACTTCCAAAAACAGAAAATATTGAGAACGTTACTGAGAAAGGAAACGAAACTTACTTTCCTGGTGGTAATGCAGTGCCAGCTTGTATTGAATCCTCAAGCCAGTGATCATTTAGCATGAAAGTCTTAACTGCACATCCATAGAGGAATTTAGTAGTTTGGACCTGCATATAACGAATAGCAAATCAATTCTGTCAGAGTGAAACCAACTTGTGTCAGTTTAGTGTACTTAAAAAATGATTCATTTGCTAAAATGCGCATGTTTAGTGGTGACAACACATCTCATATAAATATAAGTCAATTACCCTAAAATCATTAAAAACTAGTGACAAGAACAATTATGAATTTTTTAAATATCATCAATTGGATGTATAACAAAACTCACTGTAGATGACTCATATTGTAGATTTTAAAATAGTTTCTAATCAAATACAATAGCTGTTGGGAATATCTTGCTAATAGATGATTGTTTTAACTAGTGAAATACATGAGTTAAACTACACTTTTAAAATGACTTTCATATGTCGTCGGATTATCTTTGTGCTATTTTTAACATCTTGATGAATGGTTAAAATCATCAAAAAAATTGATGAAACTTGATCCACATGTAACTCTTATTTCTTAGATCACAATCAACAACATGATATTGAGATTAAAGATTGCATAAATATTGAAATAACTGAACAAATTGATGCCAAACATAATAAACAATTGGAACAGTTGCAACTATGATAACTTCGTCTTCTTCAATTTAAATAGAAGGAATACTAACAAATTTTGTGTAAGATTATAAATTTCTTAGCGCTTAATGTAGGCACTCACAAGAATGAATGCAAACATTCCTAAAAACCAGGCCTAAAAACTTAGGATAAGTTTAATAATGATGATTCTATGATTTAATAACTATAATGCCTAAACAGGCTATAAAAAAACTTTCCTTCACTCAGAATAAACAAAAGAAGCATAATCTTAAGTTCTGAACCAAATTACAACACAAAAATAGAACATAACTACAGTCACTGCTTCACTAAATAAAACAATAAACAAACGCAACAAACTATTGAAAATTAGGAGTAAAATCATTGGCGAAATTATTGTAAAATTAATGCATTTCAGCTCCTTTTTAACCCATTTAAGTTGCAAGCTACAAGCACAACACTGAACAAACCTACAGAGTACTAAAAGTAGAATCGCACACAAATTCTATTTCCAACCATGCAAGAGTAACTGCTATCAGAAAGGGAAAATGCTACGCAAGCAAAAATTTTATCTCAGAGTATCCAACCCATCAGACTTACTCTACAGATTTCTATTAACAACACAACAAAATAGACTATCAGGATATGCATTTTTTTCAGATTTGAAAGAGGTGATAATTTTTTTTCATTCGAGCAAATAGCTTGAGAGCACTATACAAGTTCTTTTAATTTAATTAATTTTTTGGGGTGAAATACCCGCATACATATACCTTCTTTGGACATAGGATAACAGGAAGTTCCCTGCTAGCTGACCTTATAGACTTTCCATTTAAATATGGAAAGTTTGATGGTATATTTGGAAGAACATAGCCACCATGCCTTCTAATTAATTCTTCAATATCCTTTGCCTTGTAACTTGGGAACCCAGTCAAAAGAAATTCTAGACCCTGAAGTATCATTCCATTGTTTCTTACTGCACTATCACTAGTTAAGCAATTGTGCTTATGATCCCATCTAGACTCAGATTTGTATGGCGTCCCAGAACATGAACCTGCAAGCGTTGAAGCATTGAGAATTTAGGAACATGCAATTAAAAGATTAGATCCAAAAAAACTGTTGAATCTAGCAAGTGAACTTGATAATGGTAAAACGATGATGAAAAATTACAGTGTGTTATGCGTTTAGACTGCAAGTTGAAAGCCTTATGCCCCATATTGTAGGCAGCTTCCTGAAATCGGACTTTCTTTTTCTTACATTTTTTCTCTTCAGGAAATGAGTATAAATTTGACTGTACAAGGATATGAGATTTGCTGATTGTTTCACTCATGTAGCAAGCCTTTTTAGTTGAATCATCTGGTCTGCATGTCCCTGAAGATGACTTAGACAATCTTTTCATTCTCTCATGCCTATCGCCACCTATAGTTACTTTAAAACCTTCCAGTATTGGAGATGAGAATGCATCTTTATGCACAGGTGTTTGAGTGTCTACTTTATCAGTGCCCCGAATGGCCAAAGATGGCGCTCCAATTTTATTTTGTTCAAGAATCTCTTCATTGTTTGATTTACCTGCAGCCAGGCATTTTCCTGGCAGCACAATATCATTTTTATTAGAATATTCAACAACCATTTTGCTAGGCAAATTCATAACTGCACCATTTATGCCATACAGTGGAAGCTGTATACATGGAGAATTACTTCCCTCTGCTTTTTCATGGCTATCTGTCACCAAGCTGTAAGGCCTGAGTGAATTCAGTTGTTTGCGATGAGGAACATTAGGTTGCGCAAGTTTGGTTTTAGATAGAATGAACTCTCTATTCTCAATAAACGGTTTTGGAAACATAATATTATTTTGCACGGTAGAAATTCCATCTAAAAATTTTGAGTAGATGACAGTCATTGGATTGTTGAACTTTTCAAAACCATCAATTGCAAGTTTGGTTTCATAACCAACATTCACTCCAGTAGAAATACTGCAAGGAACAACAGAGCATAAAGGATCAGATAATGATAAGTTCCTAGAATAATCTTGTGAAAGTGGTGCTTCATGATTATGCTCCTGTTTCTTGCAAAAGTCAGAAGATGACACTTGCAATGCCGTTTCTGAAGAAGAAACTACCGTAAGTTCAACTGATGGCTTTATCTGTGATACTTCTTGATCCAAAGAATCCATGGATTCCGAAAGGAAGCTGGTCTCCCAATTAAAAAACTTTAAGCTCTTTTTGACCTTTGCATTACTCGGCTGTGAAACCATTCCACCCTTCAAAAAATAGGTTAAATTTAGAATCAGGTTGCTAATGATTGAATATAACACGTTGTTAAACAAAGAAGCGCCATTATGAACTGAATTGGCAACACTAACGACTCTTGATCACTATCTACTTTACCTTTTGCATACAATCATGCTCCATAAAGCCAATCTGGTTTGCTGGCAAAACATCTTTAATGTGAAGCTTCTGCTCCTGCTCTCGTGCATGATCTTTTAAAGATGGTATAGAGTAATCGAGAGGCAGATTGTCCGAGGACTTTGGTTGAGTATAACGGTAAAATTCTAAGTGCATGCTATTTGATTGTAGCTTGAAGTCTAAAGGAGAACATATTTGGGAACTTGTTTTACGAAAGACACCCTTAGTAATTTCTGGAAGTGCTTTTCGCTCATCTCCAAGATCGCCAGCTAAAACATTGCAGGTATATGATGAATCAGATTTTAATATCTCCGGTTGTTTGGTAACTGAACCTTGAGCACTGTTGGAAGATTTTGTACAAGCAAATGAGCTTCCTGAAGTTTCAGCAACTTTCTGAACCGTTATACCAACATCTTCAAATGCATCAAACATAGAATTTTCATCCAAGTCAGAAAGCTGATCAATATCATCCGGATCTGCAACTGAAGATGTCTGGGCTGTTTCCAACATACATTCATTTCGGGCATGTTTTACACGAAGAGCAATTTCAATAATTGCTGCATCTGAAAAAGACTCATATTGCATGCTACTAGACATCATTTCAGAAATAACCACTGCTTCAGAAGCAGCAATGGAGAGCTCAACCACATCATCTGCAACTGTACTCTTGAGGCCTCCATCAAGTTTTTCGTCACATTCTTGCTGAATATTCTGGTTAGTTTTGATAAGTTTATCTGTATCTGGTTCACATGGCACATTTTTCTTAAAGGTTGCTGGTGAATTATTAAATCTTGGGGATGGATCCTCGCATGAATACCGACAGGCCAAACCAGGAGCGATTGCAGGGTCTTTGGAAACACTTTTCTTAGATAAACATTTGCTCATTTCATGCTTCCACGAATGAGGAATTTCATTATATTGGTCAGATGATACTTGTGAAATACTTTCTGAAGAAAGATGCAGATAGAATTGCATAGCCTGGGGAGAACATACTTTCCAGTGAGCCAAAAATGCGTGCATCGGGTACCAAAATATTTTAAATTTAGTAAAAGTTTCATCATAATCACAACAGAATAGCTATTGCAAAGAAATTAATAATTTTAAAAAAAGATATCCTGATCTTGTTGGGGAAACTTTGTTGTACGGCTGGATCAGTTCAATCGAAACCGGTCCTCTAAATAAAACAAACAAAACATAGAGTGCGGTCGAGCAGGCTGAGCGAGCGGGGAACAGCAGCGAGCGGGTTCGGGCGACTGAGATTTGAGGAGGCGAGCAAGTTTGGAAGCGATCGTGGCATACTGGGATAATGTATTCTAAAGAAGACATCGAAATAATTGCCTGAAAAAATAAAAGATCTTCAATAATTGATTGTGATAATGACCGACACATGACATCATTAAGGCGTTGGAGAGGATTTTGGAGTTGCAAATCAGTTATACACAGTATTGAGTAGATTGACTATTATTCTAAGTACATTATGGAGCTGAGAAAATGGAGAACTGTTCTACTCTACCCAAAGTAGATTATCGAAAGGAATGTATAGGGGAACATCTATTGGGATGGCCACTGAAGTCCTAAAATTATTAATGCCCATTGTTAAAAAGGTTTAAGGCGGTCAAATGACTCGACTACTAAGGAAATTTACTATTACAGGAATAAAACATAGATTGCTGAAATATCATCCCAAAGTTGAATTTGAATTTCGTTTACAGTCCTATTTATGTTCTAAAACAGGCCAGAATAAATCAATATTCTGGCTTCAACGCAATACTGGAAAAGCAAAAGGTCAAACCGAATTGGAGGAAGATATATATCAACTGACTACAGTCCGGAATTGTAATTTTTTTTTTTTTTTGGGTAATATTACTGAAGCAAAGAGAGATCTTCCTTGTCAAATATTCAAAGCATTAGTATTAACCGTGAGAAATGATACAAACTGTGATGCATTGGCAATTAGAAAATCATAAATTTGGATTAACATATATGCAGTATTAAAAAAAATTTAATTTATGCAACTAGTTACGTCATATATGAATGATGAGGACAAAAATCAAAGTCTAGCACATTAAGAAAAGGTATTCTTTAATTAATTACATTATTTGAAAAGGTGAGTCAGCTTGCAAAACGAATTATTTTTGGTGAGAAAGTGTACAAGCATGACCTAAGAAAACTAAGGCTTCGTTTGGGACGGCTTTTTTCCTGCTTCTTAAAGCAGCTTTTTAATAAAAAAATTAAAATTTTTTTACTAAAAAATTGTTTTAAGAAGCAGCAAAAAAACCGTCCCAAATGAAGCCTAAGTTCTATTATGTAAACATGCATAATACCAAAAAAGAACCATACACAACTTGCTGCTTACTAAATCGGCGGTGAGCCTTACATTTGAACAAGAAACACTTCCACGTCGTTGATCATCATCGCCAGATAAATGTAAGTGACAGCTAGTATATTTGGCACATCCAGTTGTAGTTAGCTGAGCTTTATCCCCTTTGTATAAACTTTCTTCTAAAGATTGATATTTCTGAACATGATCAAAACTAGGTAGGTCAATAAGTAAAAAAAAAACGATTCACTGAAATTAATGGAAACTTCATAGTGGCCTGGTCATAACAAAATGTTCACCGCCACTCAATCAATTTGTTTGTACAACAGAAGGTACCAAAAAGCAGCAATAATCTTCGTTTTGATACATGCTAACAGCATTGGTAATTCCTGAGAATGGTCGAACATTACAAACAGAGAGAGAGAGACTAAGTGATAAATTTCCTATTTATCAGTTTTTTTGGCCTGGGTTAGTAGTGAATGCAGACTATTCTGCATAACAAGATGACAGAAGTGGAAGATACAAAATGAAGGAAAACTCTGGTAAAAAGTCTTAAAAGTAACAGCGCTTTGGAAAACAGTTCTCTCATATGTGATGAAGGTGACAGAGTAGGAAACCAACTAGGCAGTAAAATGATATACTCAACAAGAAAATGAATGAAACAAAACAAAAGATACCAAACAATGAATCCATAAGATAAAGATGTTAAATCCTACAACCAGAAACTAGGTAGCTAAAATTATAGGTTGCTAAGTTCATTCAAGTGTTTATAACTAGGTTTTACAGGAAAATGCATGGAGAACTATTTATTAAAATGGCCTGTAAATGAAAGTCCAAACTACCTCTGCTGGCTTATTATAAGGTAATCCTTATGAAAATAAGAAATGATGTAAAAATTTGCTAATTCCTAGTAAATAAAAAATTAAAATACAGCAAAAAAAAATCATCTCTCTAGATAACCACCCATCAAATGATAGCCGACAAACTGATTCAATTCTGCTTGGACAACAGGCTCTCATCTAGAGAATATGAATGGTGGAATCTCCTTAGAAGGTTGAAGAAGCAATACATTCCATCAAAAGAATTCTAGAATCTCTTAAAAACAATCAAAGATGTCTTGTTTAATTTGAAAAAGTTTCATCCACAGGAGCGTGCTATCGTTTGAGACATGTACAGGTTGCTTTTAACGGTTGATGTGTATATCACTTAAAGCGCTTATAAAACCTATGACATGCAATAAGTTAGACCATTTTGTTTTGTTTGAAAGCAATTCGCTTGAGCACAAAACTATTTGAGATGTATGAGCACTATGTGGTAGTAATTCATGTGTGATTTTGGTTATTAAAACATGTGAGTGACTTTATTTTACATTTAGTAATGTCTTCCTCGCATTTTGTCTGCTTGCATGTATGATTTGCGGATCCGAATGCCAGTGTTATTAGTTGGAATCCATCATGTGTTTTCAAAGAGAAAATTTTTCTGTTTCATAAGATTAATGTGCATATTCAAGTTTAGAAAATTCATGAACTTTAGAGTAAATAGAAACTAGAAAACTTGGGCATTCTGCCATCACAGAACAATATACCGACTATAAAATGAATCACAAATTATATCAACTAAAATTGAACACATGACCGTTGATGCCACACAAATGCAGAAAGTAGAAAAACATAATCTCATCTCATTCATCAGTAAACAATAAGAACTACAGAAGAAAAAAAAACGCTTTGATTCCACAATGGATGCTCCAATAACTTGAGCAAGATAACCAAGCATTGCATAATAATAGCAAGAAAAATACTCACCTTGACAACAACTGGAGTTACATTTTCTTGACCATCTTCAGGAAATCCATTATCAAGATGCTCATATGGCTGAAGCCAAGCAGGGAGCCAAACTGGGTCCTGGATTAAAATAGAAACAAAAGCACTGAACATTTTGCAGCATAACTTGGCCGCCAAAAAAGAGAAATATATAAAATAGTCCCTCAACTATTAGCAAGTACCCAATTTAATCTCAGATTTTCGCATTGCCCCAATTTAGTCCCTCAAGTATTGAAACTTGATCCAATTTTATCCCAAGGCCGAAAACAATAGTTAAAGTTAACATCAAAGTTAAATGTGGGGATATTTAGGCAGTACAAGTATATGTGAGATTATATATATAGTTTTATTTTATCATTTAATAAATTATAATAAATATAAAAACCAAAATAAAAATTAACCTATTAAATAATAAGGGAATACTAAATAAAATAATATTTTCTGTCAAGAAAAATTTAAATAGAAAATCATACATAACTCCAAAACACCTGTTACAAAAAATATTATCATGGATGACAAACTCTAAAATCCTTATTACAAAAATGATGTTTTTGGCAACATAACTCCAAAACTCTTGTTTAAAAAAAAAAATTCTGCCAGTAATTTCCTCTAAAACATCTAAACGGAAGCTCCAAAACACCTTTCTTAAAAATCAACTATGAATGCAAAGTCGCAAACCTAAATATTTTAGCTAATGATAATTATATTGCTTTACAAAAAATACATAGTACCATATATTTTGAAATGCACCATATATTCTTTCTACAATATCGTTTTAAAGCACGATTTTGTATTAAAACTATTGAGTTTTCAAGTTACCTTGAATTTATTAAACATATTCAAATTTTTCTAGCGTGTTCTGATTCAAATTGATTAAGTAGGCCATCAAATTGAACCTTTTGAATCATAATTTATGAGCTGTTTAGCCCTTTTGTTTTTTTATTTAATAAGTGATCCATTACTAAATTAATTTGGAAGATGTTACATATATGTATATATATAACAATCTTCTTCTCATTATCACAGTGATAAGTTACACACTAAAAGAAGGTTCAGGATCCTGAGTTAATTTTTACTAAGAATATATAAGTAATCATATTCATGGAAGTTATAACTTTTTTTTTTTTGCTTGCAAATAAATGTTTTGATGTTATATATCTTACAAATAGAAAATAATTTTCTTCATTTAATGAATATGTATCTTTCTTTTTTAATTTCACAGGTCGTTCATGCCACTATGAAAAAAATTAGTTTTGGATACTTTTAGCCAATTTTTTTTTAAGAAAACTCTGATCACTTTTATTCATGTCAAAGATAATTTGATTTCAGGAGTACCATTTTTTCATTAATCTTTGAGAGACGGCCAAAAAAATATTCTTTGTTGTAAGAGTAAACAGCCAAAAATCATATTAGAAATTTTCATAAAACATTTTTTTATTATTTATTTTATACTAAATTTTTCATAAATATCTACCATTAATAAAATATACATATTGAGATTATAATAGATTTGCTTTTTTTATATTTCCCAATTTTTAGAGAGCGAAATTTCCATATCATACAAAGCTACATGACAGTTAATGGATCAACTCCTAACATGGCTCGCAGCATAACTTAGCCAACCTCTTGCAAAGAAATTGCATTCAAGTATTCAACCATCCAAATACAAATTGAAAAAAAAAAAAAAAATCAGCCTAATCGCATTCAGAAACCACCCAAACCGCATGTATTACCTAGGGCAAAATGCTTCAATAAATCAAAACCCAGTCACAGTAACCATTAGCTCAGATTAGTAAGATATCTCGATGAAATCTTGCACAGAAAGGATTCAATCGAACAATGAGCGGTCAGAGATTCTGCAGCGTAGAAAGAAAGATCAAGAAGGGTAGATAGCTAACCTCTGAGAACTGGGGTGAGTGATAACCAGGGCAAGCCATTAGATTGAAATCGATCGATCGAGCCTTGAGGTCTTGCCGGGAACCTGCGTGAAATTTTGGCGCGAAGGCCAGAGGCGCATTGGCGGCTATTAGAGGAATGGAAGTGTGGAGTCGAAGGGGATTATTCGCACGTTCGAACGTTGGATGAAGATCCAACGGCTGATAAAGGGTATATTGCGTTATATATAACAATTCACCATCTTTTATAACTGAATATTAATTAAAATTCCACACTAAATAATAAATATTAAGTAGAAAATCCATATTATTGAAAAAAAATAATTGCCACTTATCTTAAAATATGATAATTTTAATTTGATAATGATATAGAAGGTGTGATAATTAAATTTAAAATTGCATAATATATTATATTCAAATTTAAAATTAATAATCTTACAATATAGTTGTTAGTTTTTAAAATTGTAAGAGTTTAAAACTAAAATATGATCATATTTAAATTGAAAATAAATGATATTCATTATACCATAGTTTTTTGACATATTATCATTTTAAGTTAAAATTAACATCACTTGGTAATCATATAACATGCCAAGTGATATATATATATATATATATATATATTGCCCAAAGTGACAAAAAGGCTATGCAATATATGATTATCGTCGTAAAGGTCTTGTGCTCCAAAATGATGCTCCTTGTGAGCAAGAAGGCAAAAAGATATCAAAATCAAAGCAAAAATATCACCTTGATAATAAACATGTAATAAGAATTGTTTCTTCCTAAAATATTCACGGTGGTAAAAGTATGAAAAACTCCATATCTTTGCATTGCACGTATCCAACTTACAAACAAAAAGAATAGAAACACCATGATTTTTAACATGAAAAATCATTGAGGGAAAAACAACGAGGCTGCAATTAGTTGAAATGAAATCCACTAATGTTGAAAAAATCACAAAGTTTGATTTGTCCTTCAACTTGAAGATAATCATATTACAATAGTAAGCTATCGGGTTAAAATCTAGCGACAAACAGAGGTTGGACGGAAGTCCTGCGATGATCGGTTGTCAGGCGGAAATCCGGCATCAATTGGCGGCCGGGTAAATGTCCGATGACAGTCACTGGCCAGGGAGAAGTCCGGAAACAATAACTTTCCAGCAAATTTCCGATGAAAAATAGACTAACAGTAAAACACGAGTCCGAAAATATTTCTGACAAGAAAAAAGTCATCCGAAACTATTCCTGGTAGATTTAGCAATGGGTTTCCAAAGAAAATGTAGTTTCATTTCGCCAGCATTTCCAACAGATATTTATTCTATTTATGACATACTAAGCTGTCTTAATTGCCCATGCCTTAAAGCGCTCTCTCTTTTGGATTTCTTATTCGTGTTTTATGTTTAGTTCTTTGTTAGCTCCTAATCCATCTGTGCTTACCAGTGGATCTTGCCACCATTTCTCTTTTTGTTTAATATTAACTTCCCTTATTTTACCCGTTTTAACAACCTTAGATTTCATTTAGAACAGCTATTACCATTACTTTTTCACTACTTTTAAAAAAACTTTATACTAAAAAATCATTTTAAAAAAATAATTACAAAGCTTATAAACTTCTTTCAGCTAGGATATTTCCCAATCATGGTGATTTTGATTGCTCTGAATATTTTGTATATTTAAGATTGATTTGGTATACTACATGTTTAGGCTTAGATTATGATGGTTTTCTATGGGTATTTGCAGCATATCAACGATTATTTCATTATGCAGCTATGTTGATCATTCATCCTCTTATGCTATTTTGGCGTTGAATCTTAAGCTAAGCTTCGTTTGGGACTGTTTTTTCATTGCTTTCTTAAATGATTTTTAGTCTAAAAATTTATAATTCAAAAAGAGTTTGTACTAAAAAGTTGCTTTAAAAAGCAACAAAAAAACTGAACCAAACTAAACCTTAGTTATAGAATTGATAATCGACTTGGTTGTCTTCCATTAATGTCACAATATTATGCTAACATATAATGAATTTATACCATACGACAAATCAATAAAATTTAATACATATTCTCTTTCGAATAAAATTTGAACAAACTAATCATTTCACTCTCTTCAATTGCATTATTGGCCGACTTCATAGGCCTGCATACAACTTCAAGTAATACCATTCACTATATCTGAAACTCCTACATCAATCTATCAGCAACAATGGGTTTCATTCTACTCGATTTCTTTCTTCTTAACATCATGATTTTAGAGAGAGAGAGAGAGAGAGAGAGAGAGAGTGAGAGAGAGAGTGAGAGAGAGTCCTGTTACAACAGAAAAAAAGTCACAAACAAAAACTGCAACATTACTAATTTAAATTATCTTATAAACAGTATGAATAATGAAGCACATTGAATAGTTTGTTCTGAGCGCTTTCACTCTAAGCAACCACTGCTTCGGGACTGGGAATCTCGTTGCGAGATATTTCCCTGAAACCCAGCATCTTGTTCAGTGCACTGATATAAGCCCGAACACTGGAGACTACTACATCCATGTCTGCTCCACTACCACTGCAACATAGGAAGTTTAGATTTTTAACATATCAGAGTAAACCAACGAAATTGCTTGAAATAACAATCAATCACCAATCCGCATCATCGTAAGTTATTTTCTGTAAATATTTGTTAACATTTTTCTATCATTCCACCCCATATTATCGGCAAATTTTCCCCATAAGTTTAGCATGTAAAGCCACCTGTTCTACCAGCTATTTTTAGAACCGTCCAGTTACGATTAGGTACCGAGCAATACCGAGCAGTACGAGCGCGACACCGAACGGTACCGAGCACGGTACATTTTTGAGGTGACGTGGCCATAATAATAAATCCCTATTCTACAGTATTCAATCTTCCTAGTTTTGTACATTCCTTGTTAACAATCATCAACAATACTCATCATCTTTAGTTATTTTGTGCAAATTTTTTTGTTCAGTTTTCTTCCAATGTCAATACTTTTCTATTCCTCTTCCTAATCCTTCGACTCCATCTTAAGGGTTTGCATGCCAAAGCCACCTATTCTACACTGTTTTATCTCCCTAATTTTTCACATTTATCATAACTTTTTACTACTAAAAATTTTGAATTCATACAACATACATTCTATGAGTTTTAGCCTTAGTTTGGGACGGCTTTCTTTCTGCTTCTTGATGCAGCTTTTCAGTACAAAAATTAAAATTTTTGAACTAAAAAACTGTTTTAAGAAGCAAAAAGAAAGCCACCTAAACGAAGCCTTAGCATTCAAAGTTTCATGATGTTTTTCTTTCCTATAATGCTCATGAGATTTTTTTTTTTTTCATTTGAACAATCAATCTTTAACTCTAAAAATTATATCTTCATTAATCCATAAAATAAGTTAAATAACTGAAAGAAGTTGCATGAACTGCAAATGATTGAGAACAAGTTAATTGAAAATGAATGTAAATTACCTGAAGGTTCTGGGCAGAGTCTCCCCTGTTAAGGCATGCGTGGATGTATGGCCATTGTGGTCTGCTCTAATGAGCACTCGTGTAGTAGCAACAGCATCAATCCCTTCTGTTACAGAGTTGAGAGAGTACTCCATAAGAGTTACTCGTACCTGAAAAAACAAAACTCAAGAGCTCAAATGGAAAACATGTTTTACATTCTCAGTAATAAATAAAAGGAAAATAAATTTCAAAAACTCAGGAACAAAGGACTGCAGATAATACAGTTTTCTGAAAAACGTTTCATAAATGAAATAAAACATGGCAAGTTACAATGCAAGGAGATTAGCCTACCATATTATTGATGAACAGTAAAACGATGAGCACAGCAATGAAAGCCAAGATGACAATGGTGATTAGGGAAATTGGTGCTATTTGTAATTAAAATTACAAGAAACCAGTGTTTTTTTTTTTTTTGTTCTTCATAGAATTTTCAGAACATTAAGACCGATATGACCTATGGATCAAACAATTCAGATTGCTTCTTAGCTCACTAAAGCCACAGGGCTAAGTTAGGGGAGGGTTTATATAGCCAGATGGATATAATATAAATTAGTACACTAATCTAAGGCTTATAGAATATGTTGAGTATCCTCTCAATTTTAATTTTCAACTATAAAGAAATATGTCCAATATGGAGGTTCAGCTTCTTCAACAAAAATCCTCAAAACTAGAGTTAACATGCTTTTGAAAATCTACCATTTGAAATTAAGGAACTAGGAACAAGTGTTTTCACCATGATATTTAAGTTTTCTTGATCATGCAAAATGTAGTCATTCAACTAACATCATAATTTGGAATGATGTTAATGATAGAAACCTCTCCTCATTTTTTTGTCCCTTTTGAGGGATGATGTTAATGAATTTTGGAACAGTTCAAATGATGGAAGATTTGGAAGAGGAAGAATCCAGTGAAATCAATCCTGAAGGAAGTCGTCGAGCACTAACTCTAGTTGTTTATAACATTTTTTAAAACATATTCAAATAGTAAAAATAATACAAATATATGTTACAAAAATATACTAGTAAAAATTTATGGATTCATTTTGCTTCCAAACATACAAAAAAAATGGTTTCTTGAGTTTCATTTACAACCAACCAATAACCGAAGTATTTACAATGCATTGAGTTTACTTACACTATTTAAAATACACTTGAATTCTAAAAGCTTTGCAACCAAACAACCACTTAGTGAGTTTTAAGAAAATTTTAAGGAAAGCAGAATAAAACCAATCCAAGAAAAAAATGAAGATTGTTTAATTTGGAGATCTATAAAGGTAAGGCTTTAGGAACTACCCACTAAGATTTGAAAATTTTGGGAAAATACGAAATAGTTTGATTAACAATTTTTGTTTTACAAAACCTGATAGACTAAGAGCCCAAAATTGCATCAATTGGAGTTTGTTTGGACACCAAAATAATTAAAAAAATAAATAAATTTTTCAAGTGAGGCCCACCACCTCCTTTTTTTTCTCTTCCACCCTCTCCAGTTTCCACCAAAACAAAACATGAACATGTGGACCATGGTGTCTGGTGATGCCAAATAGGTTGGAGTAACTAAGGAGTAAATTCGTTTTAACACAAGAAATTTAGGGGTTTAAATGCCAAAAACATATATTTTTGTTCTTTTGATTTGGATCCTCCATCTCTAGATCAAAAGCTTATGCACATTAATTTTAATTACCGAAGTTGTAGGAGAACAATTTTAAGAGCTTACTTTAATTGGATCACTGCTTCACAAAAGTAGAAGTGTGTTGATCATTCAGCCATTGATGTCAAAACAACATTTTATCAATCAGAAGGCAAGGACTATATGCTGCACTTGAGTGATTCATCACAGTAATTTCCATACTATTTTTTCACACGAAAAACTCTAAATTAGTTCCTTGTATCAAATTTCAATAAAATAATTTACATTTTGAAAGTTTCAAGCATTAGAAATTGATATATCTGAACTGAAGTTAGAGACAAAAAAATGCAAAAAACTTGATGTATCAACCATCACCTGGACAATATTATTAACTGCTTCGTAAGCAGCATGTACAGGACCTGTTCCAACTGAACATGCAATCCTCTCCACCCCTTCCGAATCAATAAGCTTAACAGTTGCTGTAGAGAGGCCTAGTGTTCCAGATGTAACCTGTTAGCAGGACAGAATTCTATATTGAAAAATGTAAAAAAAAAAATTGTAGATCAACAACTGCTAAATAATTTAGTCATAGAGGCTACCTGAAGATCATGAAGGGACCAAATGACTTTAGGTTGGAAGATTTCATTTGAAATTAGCGCTTCTATGTCATCATCAGATACACGCTGCCAAAAAAAAGCACTGTTTGTTAAGAATTAAACTATGAATTTCATGCTCACATAATTATTCTTCAGCCAAAAATTTAATCAAACGAGGAAACATTAATGAAACTTGAAAGCTAATGAAAATAAAAGAAAAGACTCTTAACTAAAGGATTCCTTTGAAGATGCAAATAAAATTAAGAAAAAAAAAACAATAAGCATTCAACGTAAAAGCAATACTCCATTCAAACAACTGGTCAGTCCAGAACTTTTAAACCAGTAATCCAAGATTTAACATCAAGAACAGACTACAATCAGCATCAGGATAGAAAATTAAATTTTGGTATGAAAAAAGCAAAATCTGGAAATACAATGTGCACATAAGCCTTTTACTTTGAGTTTTAGAGATAAGGCATCACTGAACTACCTATAAATATTAATGTATTCCCAGTTAATGATAATTGATGCCAGATCTTAATAATAACTATTGACCAACCTGAGGATCCGTAGGAGGCTTACCTGGATCACATCAATCTACTTTATTATTTGTGTGGCTGATTTAGGAATGATTATATTAGGGCAATTATGCATGATTATGTAATTATTTGTTTATTTCTTAAGATATCCTGCATAGATCTATAAATAATAATAATTTTATGTAATAATATTAAGCTTTTTACGTCTCGTCTGGAGGATCAACTGATTTGCATTGAGCCGAAGGCTAGCTCTATTGGATAGGAGGAGATCTACGCACCGAGGACTAAGCCGCTTGAGACACTTTTTTTTTTTGCTTTTGTCCATAAAGCTTGTCGCAATCCTAAAAAACAATTTTTTTTCTTTCTACTGTTACGCCTTTATTGTCGATCTTCCCTTAATGGAGTTATCCTATCTATAACCAATGCAGCCTTCATTGTTGTCCTACTTAATATAGCTCTACCTTTCTGGGACTGATTACCAAGCTAGGTGTTGACCTTAAAAAAATAAAAAATTTCAAAACCCCATACCTGCCCGGGCGTCGCATGACCTCGCACGTCACAGACACGTCCGTGATGTTACTCCCACGTCGCACGACCTCGCATCGTTAAATAGCCGAAGAAACGAGACCTTCAGCCTCTCGCTGGCTCTCTTCGCTTCCTCGCCTATTCTTTCTCCCTCTCACTCCTTCGACTCTTTCAATGTTGTTCGACACTGCTCCTTCAACGACTTTCCTTCCTGTCGGAACGGAAGTTACAACACTTCGGTCGGAAGCAAGAGAGGAGCTCGCTTGCTGTAAAGGAAACTTTCTCCTGTTCACACACTTCTTCGACCAGATCCCATACGTTTGCTGACGCTTCTTCAGCTTCTCCGTAGCTGGTTGTAGCTGGTCGAGCTCGCACCTTGGACGACTTTCCCTTCTTGTTGAATCGGAAGCTACGACACTTTGATCGGAAGTGAGGGCGGGAGTTTACTCGCTGTGAAAGCAACTTTCTTCTTTTGGTGTGCTTCTTCGACCCCTTATCGTTGTTCGACTCCGCCCCTTTGACAACATTCCCTTCCCTGTGGATTGGAAGTTACCACATTTCGATTGGAAGTAGCAACGAGAGCCCGCCGCTGTGAAGGTAGCTTTATCCCTTTTGTGAGCTTTTTCGGCCAAATCCTCCTGTTGCCGAACAGCTCTTTGGGCATTTTTTTATTTAAATTATAATTATTTTTTTATTATTAATAATTAATTAATATAATTATAATTGATTCTAATTAATTACTATTATTAATTAATTATAAGAAATAAAAAATGCCACTCTCTTACCTCGATGTGCGTGACATGCCGGTCAACCACCTATACATGCTTTTCTTAACGTGGTAGGAGTAAACCCGATGCGACACACTCAACTAGGTAAATAAAGGGCTCTCAGTCCCAAAATCCCATTCTCAGCATTCGTGTCGATCCGGTAAACCGCCCATACACGCTCTTGCAGTGTGGTGGGGACAATCCTAAGTACATATACGCGGCTCTGTACCTGTGGGGAAACATTTGTTGTTCTTTTGAAATAGGTAACGAAAACTCATACACGCCTTTCTCTGGCGTGGTTGTATTGAAGATTTCACGACCACGGTGTCCAATGACACCTACTGTACACGTTTTTCTCTAGCGTGGTGGGAGGCCCAATTTTTCGTAGTTTCCCCTAAATGGGGGAGACACCGGGAGGCTGCCAAAATTTCTGGTGAACATAAGACTGTACTTGGACCTGATTGAACTCAAAGGACAACATGACTTGTGAACTTGAACTCAAACAAACTAAACAAAGAACTTGAAGATAAATATGATTTGGACCTAAATGAATTCGAACTTGAACTTGATTTGAATATTAAGTGAATATGACTTGGGCAATTTGGACTCAAATTCAAGTGGACAGAACTATGCTTGAACATTGAACATGAACTGGAATTGAACTCAAGCAAAGAATTTGTACTTTGATTACAAAGGACTTGGACTCGAATTCAGAAGGGAACTACAACGAGCATGAGCCAAACTAGAACTTGAACGCATGGGATTTTTGGACTTGATTTGAACATCAAAGAACTAAACTAAAATTTGAATTAAGTTACAATAAATTGAATTCCAATGTGATAAATCTTTGAATGAAAATAAAGATGCTAGAATCGAAGGATGATTTTAATTGTTCAAGTGCACTCGAGAGCATGTTTGATGCAAGCAAAAAATTAGGAAAACCCTTAATTTTTTGCAAGCAAAAGTTACTCTTCCTAGGAGGCTAGGATAAAAGAAAATACGCGAAATAATTCACTTAAAACAACTTTATAATATAAAAGACGCTTACACACTTAACATAAAAGCTCCTAAAGTTGCATTTCCTTGCTTGAGAAGAAGGATACAAGTGGAGTGGATCTTGCGGAGAGAAGAAGGAGATAAGAAGCCGAGATGAAGAAAGGACAAGCTCGCAAGCTTTCCTAAAGGGAGAGGAAGAGAAAAGGCATAGCTCGTAAGCTATCCTAAAAAAAACCCTCCGGTTTTTTCCGAAAATTGGCCACATAACATTCCTCTTTTCTTTCACAAAAACATTTAATGTTCATAGGAGAAAAGTTGGCAGCCAAACAGCCAACTTCAACCTCCAACCAAACTAATCAGGTAAGGGGAAGAGGAAGGGCAGTAGTTATCACAAAACAACTCCCAAAAATCAACACAGGGGACCGAAACCAGCACCCAGCAAAGGAGGGGAACCAGCCACGAGAACAACACCAGTGAGAAACTGAGGGGACACAAAGAAGGAGAAGAGGCAAGGTTCCAAACTCCAAGAGATTTTAAGTGCAATAACTCCAAATAATGAGCTAAATAAGTAGAAGAGGCTCATTAATGAGCTGATTTTAGAAGCTTACCAAAATTTAAAACCCAACTTGTTTTGACCCCCCGTGCCTACATCAATGTAAATAACCAAATGAAGGAGTTGCAAATTTTCAACATAACCTGCTTACAGCTAATGGCAACAAATACGATCTACCCACAAGCAAAGATCAATTAGAGAATGCAACAATGTGCTCGCAATCAAAATACAAGACCTCAATGAAATATGCACGAATTGTAACATGGATTAGGCAGTGATGTGTCTGCAAGTAAAACAAGAGAGAGGTAGGAGAAGTGGATCATTTGCTATCAATATGGACTAATGTGTAAATGAGCACATCACTGTCTATTTTCAAAAGAGAAGGATAGATATGCTATAAGAGACCCACACCACAATCAGCATATCAGTTGCAACAAGAAAGATTAGACATGAAGTAGAAGTAATAATGTGATATATCTAGATGTATCCAAATGAATGTCAACATGAGCATGCAAGTGAATGCACTAAGCTTTCTACAAATGATGACAGTAGACATGGGGCAACTATGATAAAAATCCTGCAAACATTAGGTAAATAAAATGCTAGAAGGCAAGAGGTATAAGATCATAGATAGCAAAGGTAAATACTTATGGGTCCTTAGAAAAGACCCGCCATATGCATCATATGCCATCTACAAGACAAACATTCACCCCGGGTCTACAAGGTACCCTTGGAAGAAGCAACCCATGGTTGTTGACAATGATCCTTCTGTAGGATTGGGTCGAGTACCTCCTCTAACTAAGTAGACTAGGGACCATGATGGCCCAGGACGATGGAACTATGGAATCTTGATCGGGTCCATCATACATTCCCCCACCATCCGCTTTAAGTGCAAGATGGTGGAAATTTCTAATTTTAAATATCAAACTTACAAACTCTTCAATTCTCAAACCCATGTTGCTACTATATGCCTGATACTACGAATCTACGGATATAATGTATCTAATCGATGACTAGCCTTATCAAAAGTTCTCTCTCGTGGTTGGGAGGGGTAATTAATTATAGGGGCTTGCGCTTATAGGAAACCAAAAATTAGATCATAAAGTCATCGCAAAATGAGGGCGAAATCTCTAGGTAGTGTCTTATCTACAAATCCATCTGCCTTCCCAAAATTTACCCCGGAACTTAATTCCGTTAAAACTCCCTCGAAAGAAAAGCGCGGCGGGCACAGGCCGAGGCCGAATTTTCGGAGCCCACACTAGGAATGACAAATCTGTATTCCCTAGCTTAAGGGAGAGTGTCAAATATGGTTTCAGCCATCCCAGACGTCCCATGGCTCTTAATCCTATAACCAGCATGAGAATCTGTGGGAGGCTCACTTGGATCACGCCAAATTCCTTTTATATTTTGGTGGCTGATTTAGGAAGAATTATATTATGACAATTATGTTTGATTCTGTAATTATTTGTTTCTTCATTAAGATATCCTATATAGATTTATAAATAGAGATAGTTTTGTGTAATAATATTAAGCTTTCTCCCTCTCCAATTCTCTAAATTTAACACTATACATTCCATATTAATCAACATCTATACTCTCTTCTCTATCAATGAATTTTTAGTCCATCTCTTTGTTTTCTTAGAGCTGCCTTCATCTTCAAGATTATTACACTACAACTTAATTATTACTCTACATTTGATTAAGTTGTTTCTAAAGATATTGATGCTTTTCACATCATCTTTCTTTAAAAACTAACAAGTCTTATTACCAACCCCTCTGAAATTAGGGCGTCTTGCACTTGCTCAGATGTGCCATAATAATAAAACCAAACTATAAGGTGCATGCTACATTCGAGTGCATCATAAAGTAAGGTGCTCAGTTGGACATGCCATAATTCAGAATATCAAATTTTGTTCCAAGGATTAGTGGACAAGTCTGTGATAGGAAATACTTGAGTTCGCAAGTAACCCTAAGGTAATACTTGAGTTCGCAAGCAAACCTAATCAAGATTAGCACAAAAACAGAGGAAAAACTGCTGTCCCAGCAGTTTGACAGCACCCTCGCAGCAGATTTTTTTGCACCAAACAGTGGAAATAAGAGAAACGAAGCAAGATCTTCACTAGTAGATGCAAGAAAACAAAGAAAGATACAACGTTCTTCAATTCGAGAGGAAGAACAACTCTCCACAAGTCTCTAGCAAACCCTAGAGCCCAAGCACACAATGAGATCTCAAACTTTTCATTCAAATTCAAGATGAGGACCTAATTCCCCCCTTTCCCCCTCTTTAACTCTCATCCCCATAAAAAATCCCTAAACAGCCCTTCTATTCAAATTTCCCCCCCTTTCCATTCAAATTTTTTCTCCAACCCTTGAATTAACTCCATGTGGGGCCCGCCTAGAGTAAGTAAGGACCGGAGGGGCCCGCCTAACAGTCTGCTTGACTGCTTTCTTTCCCTACATAGAGTTCACTTGAACTCCCAAGAACCAACAATAACACGGAGCCCCTTTGAAATCCTTAAACATCCTTTTAAACAAATGCAAACATAATAGCAAATAACATGAGTAGCACATATACCTTTGTTATAAATAACATCACAGACTTAAAAATATTATAGCATAAAAGAAAAAAGGAAAGAGTAACAATCCAGAACAAATAATTGATTGAAAAGAGCATTTTTTAATAAATAATGCATCTCACTGACTATATTGTTTATTTAAGGTGATAGGCTTCATGATTGAAGCATGAAAGAATCATCTTTGAATTTATAAGATTTAAAATCCTAAAACTTTTGATGATGAAGATTATCTGAGCAATCTTGAATATCCAATAAGCTTGTTGCATTTTTTGAGAAATAAACCAAAATAAAAACATATAGATATATGTCCATACCCTAGAGCTTCGTAACTCCATATATATGAATATTTTATCATTATTTTAAGTTTTCAAGCCCTAAGGAATAACCTAAACAAGAATCAAACGTTACTTTAAGCATTATCACGACAAATATTCTAGTTCTTCTCACCTTTTTTTTCTCAGCAATCTCCTTAAAGCGCTTGAAGACGTCATCGAGTTCCTTTCCCGATATATCATAGCCTAACTGAGAATATAGAAAACAACTCAAATGTAGCATTAAGAAAATCCAAACATAAAGAATATAAATCCAAAACGTGAAATCCAACAAACAAATAGGAGCCAACCTCTGTGAGTTTTGATTTCAAAGCATGACGCCCACTGAAAGATTCATAAATTTTGTTAAAAATAAGTCAGTACATAGAAGACCAGCCGACCCTCATTTTATTAAAATCTCATAACAGTAAGCATAAGGCAAGTAAAATTAGCATATATATATATATATATATATATATATATATATATAAGCAAACTATTTCAGTTCAATCCCCAAATCATTTTCACATTTTTCTTTATCACACACCAATTTCATTACAAGGCTATTCCATCATTCCTGCCAAAACGTCACTTATACAGGCACGAACAAAACTGCTCTTATCCTCATCATTCAATCAAAATGTTTCACTCAATCAGTCAATCTCAATCCTTATACTCAATCAATTTTTGGCAACACCGTATCCTTACACGAAAAATAGATTGTTTAGAATACAAATATTGTAGAGAAAGTTTATGTACTCAACATCGCTTGTTAATTTTAATTTTAAGATGATGAAGTGAAATATGAAAAATAAAGTAAGATGTTATCTTACGATTAAAAAAAAAGCTAATAAAAATTTTTTTAGAGTAAAATTCAAGATCTCAAGATTTAGGTTGTTCATGAGAAAGCTAATGTTATATAAAAAAAGGTAGTCAGTAATATTAAAAAAAAAGTTAAAAAGTATGTGCTTGGAGAATCAAAAGAAAATCTCCTAATAGTAAAAATAGTTGGTAGTGGAATCAAAATATGCAAGAAAATATTAAAAAAAAATGAGAAGCTCTATTATAAAAATTGGTTTATATGTAAAAGCTTAGAAAATTAAGAAAGATATAGAGAGGTCCATAGGGACTCTAAGAAAGCAATTTGCAATACAAAAAATTTAGATTTTAATGATTTATATAATATATTAGATATTAAGGAAGACGAAAAATGTATGTATAAATTAGCCAAGCAAAGAGATAAGAAAAATAAGGATCAAGTTCAAGTGAAGTGTATTAAGGATGAAGATAAAAAATGCTTTTCTTAAAAAATGATATTCAATATAAGTGGATGAGATATTTTGATAAGCTTTTTAATGAAAACTATAAGAATAAGATTGATTTTAGCGACTTTAGCACCCTAAATAAAAATAGATATTTTTGTTTTTTTTGTCGTATTAGTAAAATTGAAGTTGGAGATAATTTAAAGAAATGAAGTGTGGAAAAGCAATGAGAATTGATCAGCTTCTTAGAAGATTAAGAAATTTCTTTTTTTACTAAACATTTTAATATTATTTTGGAAATTAAAAAGAAGTCAGATGAGTGGAGAAGGAATCTGATGAACAAAAGTACGAATTATAGAAAATTTAAATTAATATTTCATACATTGAAATTATGAGAGAGAGTGATTGAGTATAGGTTACGATGTGATACTAATGTTCATTAGAATCAATTTGGATTCATGTCGGATATGTCTACTATGGAAGTTATATATTTGTTGAGAGGTTTGATGGAGAAGTATATAGAGAGTAAAGAGATTCTACATATGATATTTATTGATTTAGAGAAAGCTTATGATAAAGCTCCAAGAGAAGTGCTCTAGAGAGTTCTAGAAAAGAAATGAGTTAATAACGCTTATATTCAAGTCATTAGGGATATCCATGTAGAAGTTGTTGCTTGTGTTCCACGAAAAGTGCTCTGGAGAGTTCTAGAAAAGAAATGAGTTAATAATACTTATATTCAAGTCATGACTTAGGGATATGTATGTAAAAGTTGTTACTTGTGTTCAAACACAAGGCAGTTTGACCAATTATTTTCTTATTTCAATTGGATTACATTAAGGATGAGCTTTAGGCCCATATCTTTTTGCTTTAGTTATGAATGTTCTTACTAGACATTTGCAAGAGGATATACACTAGTGTATATTTTTTGCTTATAATATTCTTCATATTGATAAGATTAGAGATGGAGTTGAAAGAAAACTTGAATTTTGGAGGTCAACTTTAGAGCCTAAAGGATTTCGTTTGAGTAGATCTACAACTAAATATATAGAGTTTAATTTTAGTTGTAATACATCTAGTTGTGGGATTTTGACATTGGGTGGTCAAGTTATTAAAAATAGTGCAAGCTTTAGATATATCAAGTCAATTGTTCAAAGCGACGGTGAAATAGATGAGGATATTATTACAAAAATTCAAGTTGGATGGTTAATGCAGAGGAATGTATTGGGTCTATTGTGTAATGAAAAGTACCCCTGAAACATAAGGTCAAATTTTATAAGATGGTGCTGAGACCTGCAATGCTTTATGATGCAAAATGTTGGCTATTAAAAGAGAAACATAAAATTAAGTGTTACAAAGATGAGGATTCTTGGGTGGATGAGTAGCTTTACACTTAGAGACAATACAAATGAGTATATAATTGAAAATGTTGGAACATCTCTAATGTCAGATAAGATTAGAGAAAGTCTCCTTAGATGGTTTGGTCGCATAAACTGTCTGCCTTCCAATGATCCAATTAGGAGAGTAAATGTTTTAGATTCGACCTATGTTAAGAAAGGTAGACGTAGACCTAAAAAGACTTGGTTAAAAAGTAATAAAAATAAACTTTGTTTATTAGATTTAAATGAGAATTTGACTCTTAATAGGATATAATGGAGAAAAATGATTCATTTAGCCGATCCCACGTAATGGGATAAAAGCTTGATGTTGTTGTACTGTATTCTTCTATTGGAGCTACTCTATCAAAAGCCATAAGCCCAACTAGCTTACTATATTAGTAAAGGAAATACATATTAAGTATTTTACATTTCTTACTTTCTTTCTTAATCTTTATTATTTTTCTCAGTTTTCATTATTTACCAAACCAATCCATCTTTTTGGGCTAGGGGCAAGTTTAAAGGTGAAGTTACGAATTTGGGGAGGCAAAGTTCAGGTTTTTTCTAGGAGTTTTGAAAGAACAAAACTGTTTTAGCTTTCAGGTATTTTCTAGATAAAAGATTTTATGTTTAATTTACTCTAATTTCATATAAATTTAACCATCTTATTAAAAATATAAGATGATAATTTGATCCTACTAATAACCAAGCAGTTCAAGTAAACCCCTATCAGTTCACTGGTTCGACTCTAGTTCTAATCGGTTCAACTCCTATTTTTGTTTCTAGCGACACGATTGGTTGAAACTTGAAAGGACTGGCCATGAAACTAGTTTACAGTTGAACTGGCCTAATTAGATTCTATTTTTAAAACCATGGTTTTGAAAATTACATGAACATTTTGAAGATGAATGAATTTTTTAATTTAACAGATCTTTTGAGATATTGCTAATTTTTATGAATGTTAAAAGAGAAAAAAAAAATTAATTATTTTGGTATGTTAAGATTCAATCTTTCGTCCAACCATATGTTCCTAATTCAGTACTCCAAGCCCGAGATCTGCTTGTGACAGAAAGAACAAATAAAAAAGAAGATGAAAGAAAGCTCAATATACATAACTTGGAGTGATCCAAATATACAACTTGAATTTAAGAGCAAAAAAAAGCACTCATAATTAGCTTCATCAATAATTCATTCATCAATCAACAATTTAAGTAAATAGAAGCAATCCTATTGATAAAAGAATAGCCCTAAAATAAAGGTTGAGATTATCCATTTTAGTTATAAAAAAATGATCTTATCCTTATCTTTTTAAATTTAATCTAAAAAATAAATATTTAAAATAATATAAAATAAGACCTAAATTGATGAGGGATCTACTTATTTAAACAAGCTCTTATATAGCCTGATTTGACTCCTTGTAATCCGTTAATGAGAAACTAAATTTGTGTTTGCGATCTTGCTAAATAATCATCATTTTTTTATTATAAAACATCATAAGCATATCTATATTTTTCACTCAGATTTTTTTCTGAGAGAGAGAAAGGTGAGTAGAAAGTGGTTCATCGAGGGAACTTCAGACAAAAAAACTTATCCAACAAAAATGCTAATTTGCAATCCCTACTCTAAGCCCCAATTGATTACTCAAATATCCTCTAAATTATAATGCTCATACATATTTTTAAATTGTGTCCACTAGTATTTAAGAGAAGTTCATATCTTAACCCATCACAGATTCAAATGCATATAATTTAGTCTTGATAGAGATCCAAAAAAATTCGTATGATCAGCATAAATCTCAAGGCAATATTTGAATTGAAAAATTTTGGAATTAAATATAGAATCATATGAACTCCAATTTCAACAGCTTATAGTCAAACTGAACGTCCCGACAAGACAAACCTATTAATGCTACAATTGATCCGCTCTGACTCTAAATGAGCTCAAATCAAGCACTTGAATTATGTTTGAAAACTTCTAAACATAAATTAATAGGCTAATTTATTTCCAATTATAGCATTCTTATAGTCAAATAGAACGGCTCGACGAGACAAATCTAACAAACCGAATATCTCTCGATTTTGACATCGTTAAGGTATTCAAATGTTTGATATACGATATAAGATCAAGCAGGTGATTCAGTACTCCTGATTAAAAAGACAATGAAGCTTATAAGGGGATACACACCACCTATCCAAAATAATATTTCACTGGAGCCTACAAAGGGGGAATTGCGCGCAATATAAACAATACAGAGTCGAGTCTCTTTTAGGAGGTAGAATCATAATCTACAAATAAAAAAATGAAAGATTTGGTTTTGTCCTAGAACTCCAAAGAACAATTTGTTATTCCTGAAGGAGGACCGCTATAGCTCAAAAGGGGGATACGTGCTGCCTATCCAGGACAATATTTTACTGGAGCTAGGGAAAGGAGCAACGCTTATCTAAGATAGTGGAGAGCCTCCCATAAGGAAAGAATTGGAGAGAAGCATTGCAAATTTCCTCTTTTGAGAGTGTATTTATACCCATGGGGCAGGGGGGTAAAAGTTTCTAAAAGAAAAAATATGTTAAAAAAAGAAGAAAAATATATTAAAAAGGAAGAAAAATATATAAAAAAATTCTTATAAAAGAGGCAAATAATGTGCCCCTTAGTGCCAAATGGTGCCTCTGTTGAGGGCGCTAAAGGGTGCATGTGCAAAAGGCACCTAAATTAAGGCTCTCGTGCCTTTTGGCTTAGGTAGGCACCAACGCTTGCCGACTCCATTGCTGCTGGTGGCCAGTCGGTTCAATCGGTCCAATTTGGCTCGATCTTAATTTCATGCCTAAACAAGCCTATTCCAACATTTTTAGGGTCCCTTGGACTATTTTTGACGTAATTTTGACAGTCTTAGAGATAATCAAATTTGAGCTCATTTAAATATTTTGAAGTACATATTTTCAATAATTATTTTTCTAAGTGACGGGCCAATTTCATGAAAAGTTAAAATTATAATTAAAAAAGAATTTTACTTAGTTTAAGGGAGGGATTGCATCCCATAATTTTTTAAAATTATAATTTTTGTATCACAAGTTTTTTTAAAAATTTCAAATATATTTTCGAATGTAATAAGCTTCAATGTTCGAAAATAGAGAGGCAACTGATGCAATTCAAAAAAAATTATATAATCAGAATAAATATCAAGGCAACATTTAAATTAAAAATTTTCAAGAATAAATTCAAGATCATTCGAACTTTCGATTTTAGCAAGCTTATAGTCGAATTGAATGTCTCAATGAAACAAACCTATCAATACTACAATTGATTCTATCCAAATCCAAATAAGAGCTCTAACCAAACACTTGAATTATATTTAAAAGCTTTTAAATATAAATTGATGAACCAAATGACTTCCAATTATAGTCAAATCGAGCAGCTCGATGAGATGAATCTAAAAAGCCCTGTTGATTTTGACATTGTTAAGCCATTCAAATGTTTGATTATTGATCTATGATCAAGGAGACCAAAATGGATTGTACGATATAAAGTTTTGATTCTAAACAAATTTACCAAAATGCTTATCCCAAAAAGACAAAAGGGGAAAAAGTTAAAGAGCTAAGAAAACTAACAAACTCTTACATTTTCGAACTATCACCGCTGACAACCACCACTGGCAATCGCCGCCACTATGTCTAGACTCTTGTTAAGATATAGCTCTATTATCAAGTTTTTAATTGTCTGCCAGTGGACAACTAAATTTTGTAATCCCTATAATGGGAATAATGCAATTGTTCCTTACATAATTTTTTTTATTCTTCAATTGTGAGGAAATGGTGATTTTTGCATCTCTTATTTTATAGTAGATTATTACAACTGAGACAGGCCTCATGGCTTTTCTCCTTTATGAATTTTCCACATAAAATTTTTTTCTAGTATCTACAATTTTTACTATGCGTGCTAGATTTTTGTATAATGCTAAGATGTAAAGTACACAGTTGATTGCCGCAAATTTTCTAGCATTTAACAAATCTATTCAAATATATATTAACTGATTGACTGAGCACACAAACCACAAGGACCATTGAGCCTGAGATAGCTAGCAATCAACAATGCTCGCTCACAAATGTGATCAAGGGTGGAGGTGGGGTAAAGGGTGGTTTAGTAGTGAGAAACCACCAACAAAAACTTCTCCAAATAAACACTAATTAGTAATCTCTACACTTTGCCACAATTACCTGCAGATAGCCCTTCCCAATTCATCACCCACCCTTATCTGGAAAAAGTGTTGCCATCATTTATTATACACAAACAAAGAACAAACATTACACTGAAATGCCGCTTCCCAAGACTACAACTGAAAAAAAAAGAACTTAAATTTGGTACCTGAGCTTTCCAAGTACAATGCCTGATTCATTAGATCGAGACAACCCAATATCATCAGGGGAGATTATTTCATAAGTACCTTTGAATTTCAACATGCCATCCTACAAATTTTTTATGTTATAAAATCATTATATGCAATTTAAAAGGAAAGTACAAGTACTCATTCAAATAAAAAAGATTATTGTTAAAACAAAACAAGAAAAGATGAATTTTCTTAAGAAAAAAATAGTACTAAAGAAGATTTTAGTAAGCTCAATTTCATCATTACACTGAATACACTTAAAATTTCAATTGAAAATAATTTAACAAAATAGCCTATACTTTAAAAAAAAGCACTTCTACAGAAAATCAGTACATGAGCTTATGAAATATGGGGAGTAGGGCCATTGGCAGTGTTGTGTGTGGTTGGGAAAGCCATGTTCCCACATTGCATTGCAATATACAAAGTATAAAGGACAAGCTTCCCGCTTGCATCACATATTCATTGTTCTTCTAAAGATTATATGGCTTGTTACTTGTTCTTCAGCCTCGTCATCTTTTAAAGTTTAGAAAAGCCTAATGTTAAATAAAATAGGATAAGCATTGTTAGGTGTTTCTATGGTTAAAACTTAAAAGGATTTGCCTTTTTGGGAAGGAATAGGGTTATTTAAAGCAAGGTGCAGATCCAACTCATCACAAGCAACCCGCCACCTTTCACATTTAACTTGCTCTCATTTTTTCTAAGGATAATATCTAGAAGTTGGCTTCTCTTTTCTCTTTCACTATTGTTGGAAAGTTTTTTCGGGCTCATCCCAGTCTTGCGATTATTCATGGATGAAATTTTTTCGGGGTCGTCCTAGTCTTTGAGATTATTCATAGATATAAGTCCGATTTGTGATTGATTATAGATTTTTCTATTAGGCTTTTTTATTCTCATCATGTTCTTATCAAATTAATCTTAAAAGCTAATATTTCAAGATTCTTCTCGAGGGGATCATATTATGTGGAGGGTTTTCAATGCAAATGCTTAAATAGTCATTGTTTCGAGGAGAAACCTATAACTCTAATTTGGGTTGCCTTTCCTCTGCATTGAATTCACTATTTCAACCAATCAACTTTGTCCTTTATTGATTCTATTTTTTTAAAGCCGCTTCACGTGGAAGTTATTGCTACTAAGCTTTTAGGTCATTAGTATAAAACTTGAATTAGTTCAGATATCTGCCACTTTTGTTCAATTCAAAGGTACCCAGAATCCCAACTTTCATAAAATTCAACAAATTTAATGTCATTGTGCTCTACTCGTTAAAAGGAGCAATTTGACATATATAACTATATGTCGAATTGTGAAGCATTGGAAGTTAGGGAATTAAAACTCCTCTGTAATTTTTAAGTTATAAAAATTGTTTACTATTCCTTTATCACATTTACTGTAGCAGAGCATGGATTTTTAATAGGCGTATTGCATGCAAGAGGATTGGAGGAGGGCAGTTAAGAAATTACCCTTGCCTTAGGTTATTTTATATCTATTGCTCCCCAAAACCTAGCCATGTAAGTCTTGGAGTGCCTCAGTTTCACATTGTAACAACAAGAAGAGGCAAAATCGAGAGCTAGAACCGATCTTGGAGTTAGCCGAAGGAGGTAGGGTGGGATCGGGTATGAGTACGGTTAGGGTTGTCCAGTTGATAGGAAGAAATCTAAGAAGTTAGGGAAAGAGGTAAAGAAGTAAGCGAAGAAGGGAAAAGAAAATTAGGGAAGGAAATTGAGAGAGAGAAAGGAGGTAGGAATTTATTTTTTTGACTATAAAAATATTGTATGGTTTGTACATTTAACAATTCCAATTTAACAACATTCGACAATTGATTAGGACAATCGTGAGGAGAATTGATGCCTATAGCAGTGTACATGACGTGGGAATTATAAGGTATGATTATTATAAATCGATTTGATCGCATGAATTGAATAATACACTATATGAGTTTTCAATTAATGCAGTTTAAAGTTGGTGTTGGTGCCCTATATGTGCAGGCGGGTGTGAGGTATCCAACTTGGTGAGTCAATACAATACAGTAGACAAGTTTGATTTTTGTATGGATATATACATGCTATGATGCACCGAACTTCTCCTCAAAGATGCGTGCAGTGTCTGACACCATATCTGACACGACACTCGCCCGACACTCCTTTGACTCGTGTCGGACACGCCAAAAACATGTCCGATTAAAAAATATATAATACAAATTGGACACGCATGTCCAACACGCATATCTTAAATATTTTATGATTTTTTTAAATATAATTTCTTGTATTTTGCGGTATTTAAACTAAATTTCTTATTTCCTATCCACAACACCAAATCAACATCCACACTTACTACACAATCATCGAATATTCTCATTTTCATTTCTTTTTGGCAGTCAAGGTATTTTCATCTCCTCTCTCGGTGACTGATAAACGGCATCGACGCCTGACTCTCGACATCCTAATACTAATCATTTTAAGCACAAATTCTAGTTAAATGACTTATTATTTTAAATTATTTTTAAAATTATACTTATTAATTTTATACACTATTTTTTAAATATAAAAACTATAATACCGTGTCCAACCCGGTGTCCTATATTTTCAATAACTAACGTGTTCCGTGTCCGTTCATGTCGTATCCGTTCGTCGTTCGCTGTCTGTGCATCATAGGATACATGCATTTTTTTTAATTGGTTGTGTGTGACATTTCTCTCTATTTTCTACTTTCTACATAATTGCAATTAGTCAAAACTGTAACTTATAAAATCATTTCAAACATCATTCTTTGTAATATGTGAGTATGTTATATATGTTGCCACGTGCAATTCTCTTAAATTGGGATATGTGATTAATGCAGCTATACCTGCTTATAAATTGAGACACATTATTGCATATATATATATATATTATATATATAAAAGGGACCACACAAAAAAATAAATAACTATAATATATATATATCATATATATATACTATAAAGAGACACACAACATATTGAGATAAAAGCAATGATAGCTTGAGAAACTATCATGTTAGGTGACAGATGTGTTGGGATAGTGCAACCCAGTAAAGTCAGTGCAACCTCAGTATGATGAAATGGGCTATGTTATGAAGCTTACGAGCTATGAGGCCTATAAGCTATGGAGCCTATGGCTGTAAACCTAAACCTAGATGTCTAGACATGACATCTTCTAAGGCTAAAAGAGAAGTTATGAAATGAATTAAAGTCTATTTATTATTACATACTGCAACCTATAATGTACATATTAAAAGCAACTAACAATATATAATTATTGGCAATTTATTATATTCATATTGAATAAAACTAGCCTAATATGATGATAAAGGTATAATGTTATGAATAATTTCTCCATACAATATTATTTTCACATATTACATGTTTACCTACAGTGAATATCTCCTGTTAAATGATTACATATAGTTCTTACATTCACCTATTGATGTATAGGTTAATAATAACTTTTTTATATTTGACAATGGTATTAAAATTGCATACGGCATACCTTTATAAGTATTGTAGTTCACCAGATTATCTTCTAGCTATTTTTATAAGACAGGGTAAGTATAAGATTAAGTCCGAGTAGTGTTTGGTTCAATTTTTATTTTATAATTACTTTGTCAATGCAAGAAAATTATAAATTGAGATTGGTTGTATATTGATAGTTAAATATATTTTTTGTGGTACCTCTATAAATGAAAATTTTGAAATAAAATGTTGGATAGCTTCCGCTTATAATCAAAAGATCAAATGTCTTTAATGAATATTCTGCATCTTAATGTATTATGAATTATAATATAAAATGATCTATAATTTTCCTCTATTGCGTCCTACATCAATTGTAGGAGTGGAGCCGATGTGAGGTATAACAATATGGTATCACAGCAAGATTTAAATGTCTGATAAATTAATATATAAGCATGAATGGATAAAAGTTTAGGATTAGATGATTTAATGTGATACAATTTTCTACAAATGCATTGTTGAGGTTAGTTTGTCCAAGATGGAATTTGATTTCTAGGTGAGATTAACATTTTTAAGTGAAATGTGAATGTCTAGCATAAACATTAGAAGCACCATCCACCTATGTATGATATTTTATGTTTAAATCCTATTTGACATATGATCATGCACTAAATAGTATTGATCTTCATGTTGTAGTGTGAGAAAAGGCCAAAAGAGTCCATGAGAGAATTAATCGTTCGTCGGCACAGCCTGGCCAAATTCATAAAGATCTTGAGGATGTTGCACTGACAGAGGGCAATGCACTCAAGGCAGAGAATGTGCCTGTGATGCCTAATCTTGCATCACTGATGTCACAAACGATGATGCAAATGATGGAGAAAACATAATCCTTAGTTGAACACCTTGTCATACCCCACGTTGACCCCACTCCTAACAATCGACGAATCATGCAACAAAGAAAAATTGTAAATCACTTTACATTATAATTTATAATTAATTCAGATGCAAAATATTTATAAAAGATATTAAATCCTTTAATTTTCTTACATACAGTTCATTTTAAAATTTTCTCATCTACAGAATTATAAAAAAACTAAAATATTTAACCATCAACAGACAACTGACCTCCATCTAATATTTTCTTAAATTGATAAAAATAAATAAATTAAAAAAAAAACTAAATCTATTATTACTTGAGCTCAACTTTATTATCCATAAGATAATGCATCTCTAATACAATAGTCAAGCATAAGAAAACAATAATTAGCATATGCATCAATTGGTAAATATAAGAACTGCATACAATCGTTTAACATGAAATATGAAAATTAGATAATCATGTCACAACTGCCGCATATAAAAATTATGTAGAAAGTAATATTAATATCATCACATTAGGCTAGTCACATTCAACACATATATTTTCAGTTTCTTTCAATATGTATATCATACATCGCAATATGTATATATGACAGAATTGCACAATGAAGCATAATATAACATAATCACATACCACAAAAAAATTATAGTAAAATAGCTATATAAATCATAATTTCAAACTAAAAAAACAAGTGTACAAAGTCTTATGTCAAACACAACTATATTGAATGCTTGTA